CTATGTGTGTTCTTTTTAATTATCTAAATCTAACTGTTTATTGTTGTTTAGTGTGAGAAGGAGTACCATGTTGGCTGCTTGCGTGACAGTGGCCTCTGTGATTTAAAAGTAAGTTTCAGAATCTTTGTAATGCTTTCGACATGTATTTATTCAGCGACTCAGTATAGTTTCTCACATTTGGTGCAGGAACTGCCCAGGGATAAGTGGTTTTGTTGTGATGACTGCATTAGGATCCATGTGGCACTACAAAATTTAGTTTTAGTTGGTGCGGAGATGATTCCAGCTTCAGTGTCATATGCAATACACAGAAAACACGTCGAGAAAGGATTTACAGATGGAGTTTCAAATGATGATGTTCAATGGCGGATTTTAAGCAGGAGAAGTCGCTATCCAGACCATTTGCCAGTACTGTCTAGGGCTGTTGCAATTTTTCGAGTAAGTTTTTGCTGATACCATGTAGAATAGCAAAACATGATTTTTAAAATTTGTAAAATCCTGTCTAATTTTGTTCTTATCTATTCTAGTGCTACTTCTCGGTTACTTCTCTTTAGCAACATAATGTAATGTCATGTGCTAGAAGAAACAGATCTGGGGGCCAGGACCTCTTCGGGGCATTTGGTTAATATTGATTCTCTATGCTATATCTTACATGTATCTTTGTCCAAAAATGGTTTTGATTTTGACTTCTTTTTTCTTTTACTGTATAGTCCTTCTGACAGCAGTTGTATAAAGATACTTCTTTTTGCTATGTTATACTTTCTTTTATTACTTAATTTTATTGGGGGGTTAAACCTATTAGTATGTCTCATCTTTGGCAGGAATGTTTTGATTCTATTGTTGCATCTTCTGGTCGTGATCTTATACCTGTTATGGTCTGTGGGTAAGTTATCATTGTACATTTTGCTTAAGTAGCTCTTCATCTGAAGGGTGTATCTACCAAAACTTATGCCATACGGAAGAAATTTAAGTGCTTTGTGAGGAAAATTTCATCATTTCCCTCTATTAATGAATTGGTGTGAAATGAAGTTATTTTGTAGGTTGTCAACAAATACTTGTGACTACATTAATCAAGTATACATTATTAAAAAGAATGCATTTTGGAGGAGGAAAATATGAATTTTGCTTACAAACAAACCTCTATTTTATGTCCTAGAATTGTTCAACTCACATTATGTGCTTTTCAAAGATTGACCATAAGGTTCAATTAGGAGAAAAGGATTGGTTTTATTTAATGAAATTTGAGAACAGAAAAATAAGAAGAAAAAGGGCACTATGTAAGTAGATTGTTTGCTTCACTAGTTAAATTTCCCTAACTTCTTATTGATCTTTATGTTTTTGGTTAATCTACCAAACCTATTTAAAATGCCCTTTGTTGTACTTAATGCAGGAGAAATATATCTGGGCAAGAATTTGGTGGAATGTACTGTGTCATTTTAATCGTAAAGTAAGCTGCTTCACATTAAAGTTGTTTCTGCATGTTTTATTACTTTACTTTACATTTTCATTTTCATTTTTGTTAATGGTTGTTACTAGTTTTATGTTCTTATTATTTTTTAATCATTGGATTCCAAAATGTCGTGCACAGGTCAGTTGTATCGGTTGGTCTTCTGAGGATTTTTGGACGTGAGGTTGCTGAGCTTCCTCTAGTGGCTACAAGTGGAGAGAATCAAGGAAAAGTAAGTTTTTTTTTTTGTTTTTTAATTTTCTTTATTTATTGATTTTTTCCCTTTCTGTGTAGCTGGAGTTATTCCTTCCTTTTTGTTTATGTTGATGATTTTTTTTTATCTGTAGGGATATTTCCAAGCATTGTTTTCATGTATCGAGAGCCTATTGTATTCCCTAAATGTTGAAAACCTGGTACTCCCTGTTGCTGAGGAAGCTGAATCAATCTGGATGAAAAAATTAGGTTTCAGAAAGATGAGTGATGAAAGGGTAATGCTCTTCTACAACTTAATTAATGGCTCAAATTTTTTTCTCCCATGTTTTTACCTTAAACTTATAGAATCTCTAGTCTGCATGGAAAATGCAATGGGAATGCATTCTATGCTACACTCGGTATTTGGCACCGCATATTAGTTACTTTGGTCAGTGCATTGACCAGAGATGTGTAGCTAGATCTTTTCATTGCCATTTTATAATTGGGTAAGGGAAGAACATAGATTTTGTGGTTTTAGATGATATGGGTTAGTTATCAAAGTGATCAATAAATCACATTTTGTTAATTACCAAATCTTGTCTTTCCCGATCGGGCACTGTTTGAGGTTCTTTCTTTACAGTGTCAACCTTAAAATACATTTTCTTCAATTTTGAGTTAATGCGCAACTCTACAATTTTGTATGCCTCGAAAGGAGGTACATAACATGTATGCAGTGGCAGAGCCACAATGGGTCAAGGGAGGTCACGTGCCTCCCCTGGGTTTTGGAATAATTTTTTTTTTTTTTTTGCAAACATAAAAAAAATATTTTAAATAAAAAAATTATAAAATATTATTTAGAGTGAAATATTAATGACATTTTTAAAATAATGAGAATAATAATGGTTGTTTTTTTATTGAAAATAAAGATATTATGATAAGTCATATTATTAGCTATGAAATTTTCAATACAATGGCGATGTCTATCATTATTGACATACAATTATAATTAATCTCAATGAGGATATGAAATTTATTGAATTGTTAGTTACATTTAACATTTGGGGTTCATCCTCTATATGTTTCTTTACTATTGATTGGTAATATCATATGTCAATGATGACGTGATATTACTATTATATTGAATTTTTACTAAACTTTTTATAAAAAAATTACTTTATTATTATATAATTTATTTTAAAACTTATCTCCATGATTTCTTTTTATATTGTCCATGATATACTAGTTACAAATAATATATATATATATATTTATTTATTTATTTATTTATCTTTCTTGAAGTCAATCATAAAAATTTATGTGAAATATTTTTGTAAAAATTTTCAATGTTATAATTAATAAGTGCCCTCTTTGATTTAATTTCTTGGCTTTACCACTGCATGTATGCCATGACATAGGATTGAAACAACTACATATTTATACAAGTGAAGATGTTACTATAAATTCTTTCTTTTTTCTTTTAAGAAGGAAAAAAAAATTTACATTTCCACTCTGAAAAAGGGTGTTGGCAAAATGAGTACTTTCATGGTTTAATTGGGCATCGACTTCGGTACTATTTGTGTCCCATGTTTATGTTCATAGCCAGTGCTTCAGTACTAACTGATATAAACATGTCTGAGCAGTTATTGAAGTATACGAGGAACCTCCAGCTGACGATTTTTAAGGGGACATCAATGTTAGAAAAGAAGGTGCAGCAGATAGCAGATTAGCAACGCGCGGTTAAAGGTGTAGGAATTAGGGATTATTTTTTTCATTCTTGGTTGTTTATGTAATGTTTATGTTCATAGCCAGTGCTTTAGTACTAACTGATATAAACATGTCTGAGCAGTTATTGAAGTATACAAGGAACCTCCAGCTGACGATTTTTAAGGGGACATCAATGTTAGAAAAGAAGGTGCAGCAGATAGCAGATTAGCAACGCGCGGTTAAAGGTGTAGGAATTAGGGATTATTTTTTTCATTCTTGGTTGTTTATGTAATATTGCTGCTATTTTCTTTGGTTAGCATGCCAGTGATCTGATTGAGAATTGTTTTTGTTTTCATGTATGAATAGGAGGGGAGGTGTGTCACAAAGTAGCCATGCATGCTAACCTTTTAACATGCATGCATGATGTTGGTTCTTTCTTTTCTTAATTCTTTTATCTCTGCATTTTGTCTTCGTGTATGCGAACAGTTTGAGATGAAAAACATACTCTTTTAGAGTGTGCATTGCAGGAAGATATTTTTGTTAGGGAAAATTTCAAAGAAGTGGAGAGTAGAAAAAAATAATTTCAAAGTGATGAAGGTACAAGATAGACCTGCACAATCTAATGCATAAAAATCACTTGTACTTCTATCACTTCGAAATTATTTTTCTACTCCATTTTTTTTATTTTATACTCCCTTTTTGTTATAGTATGTACCTGGACATAGAACAATGAAACTCTTTAGGCTGCGTTTGAATTTTGGATTTATGGAAGTAATTGCTCAGTTCTCTCTCCCCTCCACCCTTTCACAAACTACAGTTTGCTAATTGTTTTGCTTAGTTTGGCTGTTCTAGGTTTAGTTTGGTAGACAAACAAACCTGTCATCTAGATATGTTTTTAGGGTAGGGTTGTCAACGTCAAGGGAATGGTTGTAGAGCAAAGATGCATCGAATATTAAAACTCTAGCGACAGGCCATTGGCTGTCACATGGAGAAATTGTGTGTGGAGCTGAGCAAGGCAACGCCGTTCCGAAAATTGTAAGGACTAGTGATTCATTGCTTCTTGTGTATAACAGTGAGACCTAGTAGTATGAATTCAAAATTGTTTTTGTTCAATGAATTGGGGTCAATATATGCCACAGTAACAGTGAATCAAAATTTGCCCATCATATGGCCTTTGTTGAGAAGAGATTTTTGTTATGGCTTTGTTTGGATTGAAATAAAATTTTCACAGTTTGGTCTAAGCTTTGTATGGTGAGTACAATGCAGAACCTTTCAGCATCTAGAACTTGCTAAAAATATGTGGTATCTAGTGATAATCAGCCCAATAATATTATTAATTGAAAATTAGAAATGTCATGTACATAAGGGGAAGAAAAAGAAATTAGAAAAGTTTTCAAAATTTAATTGTATGATAATTTAGTTTTTTATTGTGTTGGTTTGGGATATAAAATCATGTGATTAGACTATGTATCTAGTCAATTCTTAATTCCATTTTCGGATATAAAAATGGGTCTTTAAAAAAATTTATATTGATGCATTATTTTTTATCCTTTCATTTTCAGTTGAAATACCAACTAGCTCATGGGTGGAACTGAATCAATAAATTTTGAATCCATAATTGATTTTACTATGTTGTTTGTTTGATATCCTATATTCTTTGTATATTGGACAAATATATAAACATAAGGAGTGTACCAACAAAAAGAAGAAATAAAAAATCACTTATATAGAATATGATTTTGGAGATTTATATCAATTCATTTTAAACTATAAGACCTAGCTTATTATTTTAAAGATGTCATACAAATTTGTATCAGTGATTTTAAACCAAAAGACCTAACTTATTATTTTAAAAATGTCATTATCATATATTGATGCATTTCATCTATGTCAACGATATTTTTAAAATAATAAATCAGTTTAATATTGGTCTCCTTTTTTCTCTTTTTTTTTTCTTTTTTTTTGAAATGAACAAATTCAAATCTATGACATTATTTTGTACAAATTTTTATTTGCATATCAAAATTTTTCTTTTATTTTTATTTTTATGAAACCAATTCTTGGCCATACTCTCTCATGCTTGTCCATCCTTTTGGTATTTTAATGGTTCTTCAGAAGTTCATATTTCATATTGCTACTTCTTTTAACTTGACAAAACTAAAAGACTTGTATTGATCATAAAACACTAAATAATTTGGGGTTAATTAGTCAAACTAGCCGAGGTCTAATTCACATGAACCAGTTAGTCACACAAATCTTGTGTGCTCATAATAAGGTTTAAATTTTTGTAACTATACACTACAAGAAAATACAGTTTTGGTGACCACTTTTGCTGACTAAAAATATTTTGGTCGTCAAAAGTTGTGGAATTGGCGACCAAAAATTATATTAGTGGTAAAAGTACAATATTTAGCTGCTAATTTTTTTTAGTCAGGGTATATTGATTATTGGCGACTAAAAAAAATTAGTCGCTAAAAATACCACAATTGGCAACTAAAAAAAATTTAGTCGCTAAATTTGCCACAATTGGCGACTAAAAAAATATTTTAGTCATTGCATAGTTAGTTTTGACTACTAAAATTGTTTAGTCTCTGAAAAAAACAAAAATTAACTTTTTTATTTTTGGCGACCAAAAGCATGGTCGCCAAATATTTATGTTTAGTGACTAAAAAATATTTGTCGCTGTATAGTTAGTTTTAGCTAATAAAATTATTTAGTCGCCGAATAAAAAACAAAAATTTACTTTTTTATCTTTGTTCGCCAAAAAATTATTTTTTAGTCACTGTATAGTTAGTTTTGGCTACTAAAATTATTTAGTCATCGAATGAAAAATAAAAAATTACTTTTTATCTTTGGTGACCAAAAGTTTGGTCGCCAAAAATTTATTTTTAGCGATTAAAAAATATTTTAGTCGCAGAATAAAGAATAAAAAAATTAATTTTTATCTTTGGCAACCAAAAGTTTGGTTGACAAAAATTTATTTTTAGCGACTAGAAAAAATTTTAGTTGCCAAAAAACTAAAATTTTTGGAGGGAGACATTTCAAATTTTGGTGGAATTTATAAAACTAATTGGTGACCAAAATATTTAGTCACAAATTGGGTAAAATGACCAATAACCATATTTATATACATATATATTTTGTTTCCAAACCAAACCCTAAACAAACCAGCGCCTCTCATATACATATATATTTTGTTTCCAAACCAAACCCTAAACAAACCAGCGCCTCTCTCTCTCTTCAGCATCTCTCTCCCTCTCCCTCTTCTTATTTTCTACTTCTCTTCTCTCCCTCTCTATCGCTAGGGATGGCAATGAGGGTTAATGGGATGGATGTTAATTCCCCATCTCCATTCCCCTATAATAATTTTTCCCTATTCCCGATTCCCCATGGGTACTAACATCTCTATCTCCTAATGGGTTTGTATTTCCCCCAACCCAACATGACCTTCCTTTTTTATCTTTTTTTTCTTCCAAGGTTCACAACCAAAGCTAAATATATATTCAATCTTATTTTATTTGGCTCAACAACAAAATCAAATACACATTAATTAATTAAAAAGTTAGTTTTAAATAATCAAATATATAATTTCGAGACAATTAAAATAAGCTCACAAGAATATGAGATAAAATTGTTTTCATATATTTATATAACAAAATCAATCTGGGTTAAAGCCATTCTAATAAAAATAATGTTGTTATAATTTGGAGATGAACCAGCCCATCTTCTCTTCTTTTCTCTTCTCTTTCTCTCTCCAGTCTCCAATAACCATGTATGTATAGGTATGTTCCTCTTTGTGCCCTCATTGAGTTGCTTTTCTTTTTTCCATTTGGCTGTATTGGGGGGATAATGGGCACCCAGATCATGTGCTAGACAATTAGACAGCTATTAGAGTATCTCTAACGCTTACTCAAAAAAAAAAAAATATAATATTAAATTTGAATAAAAAATTAATGAAAAGTTTCATATGATACTATGTGTTTCAATGCTAATTTTTTAATTTTTATCAAACAACTGGTTGACCAAAAGGTCATCCGACTTATGAAAATTTTCATCAAACAATCAGTTGATTGGGAGGACAATCAATCGGTCATCCGGTGTATGGTGAAGTCTCCGCAAAAGTAACGGCTATCTGTAAAAATTTGATAAACGATGAAGCCTCCCTCAATTTGATGAAATTTTTTATTTTCCTTTCATTTGATATGGGTTTGATGTCATGGTTAGAGCAACAAAAGTGTGCGTATTTTAAAAAATTTAAATTTTATGGAAAATCTAAGTAAAAGTTTGAGACGCTCTTATCGGAGTAGAAAAAAATAAATATATGCATTTATACTTAGGGTTTGTTAAGGAAATGGTTTTTTAGTAATTTTGTTAAATTATGAGGTGAAAAAAATAAAGTGTTTAAGAATAATTTTTTGAATTTTTAAAAAAAGAAGTACAAAAAGAAATAAATGAATCTTTAACTTTTTTATATGATTTTTTAAAAACTTTTTTAATGATTTTTTGATTTTTTATTTTATTTTATTTTATCAGTTTTCCAAACAACTTCTTAATGTTTAATTTCATATCACTTGATGGGTAAATGAAACAAATATCACATGTTTCTTTTTTGTCTCTTTAAATTTTATTAATTTGTAAAATTATTCATGTCACAAAAATCATCATAAGAATCACATAAGATCCAATAGGATAGAGAAGAGAAAAGACGTAACAAGAAATGTAGATTCGTGTAAACTATCATGATGATTTACATTCATTTATATAATGCTACTTTTTCCTTTTATTTTTTAAAGAAGTGCTGAAATTTCAATCCTAACATATAGTTTGGTAGAAAAACCATGATCATAGGGTAATTATTTAGCAATTTCAAAACATTATGTAATATTATTTATGTGATATTCTAAATTAATCATGTAGTAAAATACTGTATGACTGAAATGTGGAGATTTAACCCATTATTAGATAATTAAAAGACAAATGACGACTGTGTTGTGATTTTTCTTATATGTCGAGGTTAATTATCATATAGACAATGTCATATGAAGATAAAAAAAAATATAGACAATTTTATATGGTAATTTCATTTCTTCCAAATACTTTTCCATGTTTTGTTTTGCAATCTGCAAGTTCCCAATATATGAAATTGATGTTGCAGAGACAATAAGAGAGAGAGAGAGAGATAAGTACAGGTAGCATGCCACCTCCAAGGACATAGCTTGGGAGGCTAGA